TGCTGCCTTAGAACACGAGGATGCACCAACACAAAGGAAGCAGAACCTTGAACAAGGTGTTGTACTGCTGCCACTGGATTTCTAGGTCCTCACGCCACTTTCGTCTTTCTCCTTGGCTCTCCTAGGCACTGCTACAGGGATCCACTCCAAGATGGCTGGGTGGGAACAGCTGACACCGCCCAGATACCTACCCCACCCCAGGCCTCCTCCTGCTCCCCCGAGTTCTGTGAATTCCTTTGTCCCCAGCTCCATGTGGCTGTGTCTGAGAGGCCCTGGTGTTGCAAAGTTTCCATGACTAATTTTGGCAGGGCTAGCAGAGCCTTTTTCATATCAACAGAGCCTCACTCTCCCAGAGTAGTGGAAGTAGAGCCAAAATTCCACCTTGGCATACATACATAAAGCTATGTTTTTAAATAAGAAAGTTGGAACGTAAGAAAAAAGAAACAGAGGGGACAGAACTACCACAGCTGTGGTTAGAGAAATGATGGTACATGAAGCTGACAGCCCTGTGGCTTTGCTTGCACATGTCCTCCCCTGCCAAAACAGGCTATTCCTCCAGGAACCCTCTCCTAACTGGCCAAGACTGTGCAGAAACATTCAAAATGTGTCTTATTTTCAGTCTTCAGGGTGGGCCACAAACTCAGACACACTCTGCTGGTGGTTTTACAAATAATTTGCTTTTTTCTTGCTTGTAAAAGATCTTTTCTTGTTGCAAACAGAACTTCTTTTTTTTTTTTTTTTCTTGACTTTGGATTGGAGCCAAGGACCAAGTCTGGGGGCCTTGGCATCATCTTCACCATAAGATCTTAAATCTAAAAGGGCTTGGGAGGGAACTCCCTGCCTATCTTAAAAGGTCTTGAGAATCAAAAATGCTACTAAAATTTCCAGATTCAAGAGAATGCTGTGTAAATATGAAATATTGTTACTACCATGCAACGGAAGACCCCAGCTCAGAGAGGACATTTCTGCCTGGCAGGATGTTCCTGGTGACCCATTTACCAAGGAGAACTGATTGTGTGAAAATGGACCCCAGACCACACGTCCCTGCCCCAGCCTGTATGCAGTACTTATCACAGAAGCAGCATGGAGGGTGGCAGGGAGGCAGAAGAAAGCGAGCTGTGTGATGTTTCTTCATTTGGAGGCAGGTAGTTTATTGACCAAAGTATCTAGGTGTCCACACTTCTGTAGCACCCTTCACCTGCATGGTTCAGTCCTGCTCTCAGTGATATTCAGGCTCACACACTCCCTATGCCTCTAACAATGGCCCTGCCTGGGACCCGTCCACTTGTGCCAGCATGGTGACTCCTGTGTAGATCAGGTTCTTACACAGCCTTGAGACCTGATTCCTAAAACCATCAGGAGGCTAAATCCCGCAACCCTGCTTGGTTAACGACAGCTGCATTGTGCACAGGCGTCAGCCCCTGTCTGCCATCCCACTGAGGCTCTGAGTCTGTCCCTGACTCAGCTCTCCTTGTTCGGGTGGCCTCTATCTGTCAGAGCTTCTCCAAATCCGCAGTGGCTCTGCCCCTGTGATACTGGACTGGAAACCTGAAAACCTGCACAGAGGTGGCCAGGACACAGCTGTCTGTGCAGAGCCTCTCCTGCACTGGCTGCGACTGGCAACACCAGCCCTGCTCCCAGGCACCCCTTCCCCCCAACCCACCCACCCTAGCTAAGGCCCTTCCTTCAGCCTGGAGGTATCCCTGTTCCTGGCCTCTCTCCTTGCAGGCTGTTATGCACTTTGAACTGAAATTGAAAGAGCTGCTATCCAAAGGACATTGCAGGGTATCCCATTCACCATACCACCTTGCCTGTTCCCAGAACTTGCGTGCGCCTCAGATCAGGTGTGAAGACCCAGCCCCTCATCACTGCCCTGATTGTCTCTGTCCTCACCAGGCAGCCATTGCTGACCCATGAGTACATTCGTTCATCTCCTGTGTAGGTGCTTGCTCCTCTCTCTACCCATCAGCCGATGGGTGGAGGTGCACCTGACACACTCGCTCCCAGAAAAGATGGGGTTTGGAGAAGGGCTGTGAATAGCACACAGAAGCCATCTCTGGAGAGGAACCTGTCTTCCTGGTTGTTTCATACACTGAGGCATGCCTAAGAGTTGGGACAGCTGGGGAGAACTGGTGAGGCTGTGCGGGCTGCCAGAAAGACATCCTTACCCTAGGCTGGCAAGTCCTCCTGGGTGTACACAGGGGTGGGAGAGCTCTGCCGGCTCCTTTTCCTGCACCACTTCTTGCTGGCAGGACAGACCGGAGGGGAGCTGCAGGAGCCCAGCTGCGCTTCTGCAATGCGGCTCTGGGCTGAGATGAAGCGGGAGAGCGCCACCTACTGACAGGCGCGTCGGCTGCACAGAGGCAAGGCTGTGTAATAGCAGCTTCCAGCCTCGCTGTGCTCTCCTACTGGGTGGCTAACAAGACCCTTTGTTTTTTCCCATTCAGTCAGACCTGCTCTCGGTGTGTTTGCAATATAGGGGAGGACAAGGGGAAGATGGAAACTGGAGACCCCGAGGTGATGAGGAGAGCCTCGCTGTGAGAAAATTGCCTAGGAACAGCTCGCCCCCAGTAATCAGGCGCTTGGTGTTGTGTGACAGGCACAGTGCTGCATGTGGTTGTCTCACTTACCGTTCCAAGCAACCCTCGAGAAGGCAGGCGTCCCAGTTTCCACATGAGGAACCTGAGGCTTTAATAACAGTTCCTGGCCCCCAACATCCACGGCCAGTAAGGAACAAGGATATTGGGGTGTGGAGGAATCGAGGCTGAATTCTGTCTTGTTCTGAATCAATTTCTCCCAACACCTGCCAACCAAGTGGTTCCTATCCCCAGTTCAAGGCAGAATTTCTGTAATCCAATAAAGGAACCATTTCCTTTTGGTTGGGTAGAATCCCATCTCTGCTTTTTTCTACCTTAATCTCACACCCCCATCATCACCCCTCCCCTCCCCGCCAAGCTCAATTCCTTCGACCGTAAAACAGGGAAGTGAGGACATCTGACTTGCAGAGTTATGGTAGAGCCTCAATATTCTAGAGTACAGGGATTTCTAAACAGGAGCTTGGTCAGCTGTGGTCTGAACACCTACACTGGGATCCACCCTTCTCTCGTTGTTAGCTTTGGGGCCTTGGGCAGGTGTCTGGACCTCACAGGTCTCCAGCTTTCTCCTCAGTCCAATGGGGCTGACAAGGATGGACCCATTCTGTCAGAGCTCTCTGCACAGTCAGGTGAAAACCCCTGCTACTCCCATATTAGCTGTCATCATTTAAGTCTGAGGCCTCTGTTTCTTCAAATGGATTGGGGGAGGGTTTCTGAACAATGACTTGGTTTGAATTCAGCTTCTACACGAAGGCTTGTGTTTGTGTTGCTACAAGCCGCCACCTAAGGTCAAGGCAGGTGGGGCGGGGGAGCTCTGTGGATGCCACAGAGGGGACCTGGGAGGCACTCCTGTAACACCAGCGTTCCCAGCTCTACAGAGTCTAGTGCACTTCCCAGTGTGCCATCTCCTTTTGTCCTGCTGGGACAGCGGCACGTCCCTGCTGTTTGCTGGGGTAAGGAAGGTCAAGGCTCACAAAACTCAAGTGACATGTGGCTGCTGCAGAAGGGCTGTGTGCTGGGGTGTATTTGGAGGGTGGCCCTGAGTGTCTGGTTCCCACAACACACCCACAGGCTCAGAGAGGCACTTACGGGAGGCGAGAGAACCAACGTTCTGAGTTTTCAAAAAACTGACCAACAATAGCGTTTTCCTCTTCCTTTTCAACGTGGGTTTGTATTCCCGGGCACAGTTTTCACAAGAGGGCCTGCCTGGAGAAAATGTTGCCTTTTTTTTTTTTTTTAACCTCCATTCCTGGTTGAGGGAACAACAATTCTGCAGCCCCACCCCCACCTCTACCCCTAGCCTGCTGGGAATTACTTCCTCATTTTCTTCCCTGCCTGCCAGCTTTATTGAATTCTCCTTAGCAACATCCAAAGAAGAATTCGCCTAGCAACAGCATGGGAACCAATGAAATGTGGACATGGGAAAGGCTTCTAAACCAATGGGGGCTCTGCCTGACAGCCAAGATGGCTTGTAAGAGCATAATAGCCTGCAGTTTGCAAAGCAGCCCCTGGGTGGCAGCAGACCAGCTGTGTAAAACACTTTGGGATTTTTGCTTCTTGTGGCTTGTACTTGGATTTTTTTTTCTAATCTGTAAGAATTTGACTGCCACAGGCTTTGTGGGTGTGAGTTCTCCGTGTGAGGTGGTATACATGACCCAGACAATGGGCTCTTGGCTTCCACCACTGCCCTGACCTGACCCATCCATGACTCTCTTCATTGTTCCTGCCACCCCTGCAATTTGGAGTGGCACAGACTGGCACTGCCCCCTGCCCTGCCAGTTCTGCCTCCCACATCTATACAGGGATGTCAGATCAGGAAGTGCTTTTATGCATTCTACATGCTGTCACGTAGTTTACGTCTCTTACACTTTAAACCAGAGGCAGCCATGGGAGGAGCTGAATAGAACTACAGGAAACAATAGAAAATCCCAGTATTTAGTACTTTAGCCATCCTTGTGTGGAGATGTGGCCTTAAACACCATGCGGCGAGGTTTAGGACCTTCAGAAGTCTTGTGTCTTCCCAGGTGTCCCCGTGAAGTCCTGTATCTTCAGAAGGTCTCATTTTATTCCTTCCCTTCTTCTTGCCTCCAGCTGCCCTGGATTCCTGTGGTGGCATTCCTTTGTAGCTGCAGCCCTTAGCAAGGCATTGGTCTGTAATGGATGCTCAGGGACATTTTTAGAAGAAAGGAAATATGTGAGAAATGAAGTGTTGCTCTTCTTGAAAACAGCCGTAGGGGGAATGTATTGGTGGAGCAGTGCCTGGGAATATGCTGCTGGCTGCAAGGGCCATCTTCTGCCTGTTCAGGACCCTTGCACAGCACGAGCTACACCTCCAGACCAAAGCCCGAGCCTGCAGACATACTGTCCATCCTGGGAGTGGCTCATCTCAGCAATGTTGTGTTTTAGGAGGAACCGAGGAGCAAATCCAAAATCTGTGCCAACGTGTTTTGTGGAGCTGGCCGGGAGTGTGCTGTCACAGAGAAGGGGGAGCCCACCTGTCTGTGCATTGAGGTGAGTCCCGACATCAGGAGCCACGGCAGGGGCCCAGGCGAGGGTGGATCCCTTGGCCGAGCTGCCACTTAGTGGGCAGTGCCTGTGATTTCATCATCCCCGCACAGGCACGCCTTGTCTGTCTGGAAGACGTGACATTTTAAACCAAGGGGTTATAAATCGTATGCCTGATGTTTAGCACAGGGATTTTTAAAATATGTTTTTTATGTTTGAAACTGTAAAAAAATTTTAAATTGTCAAGTTGCTTTATGTTTGTCAAATAGTACAAGACGTAAGAGCATTTCAGAAAGTTCATAAATGAAGAAGCTAAAAGATAAGTTTATTTCAATCAAAATATTTTAAAATCCATGTGTAATTTTCCTACTATGCACTGTCCATGAACTTGGTGAAGAGCCCTCATCTGCATGAATTTCAAATTTTCTGCATCAAAATAAAGCTTATCTTTTTATTCTATTTCCCATAAACTTTTTGAAGAAGTTTTATATTTGTACAGAGGGAACCAGTGTTTGGTATACAATGTTCTACATTGGTTTTTTTTCTATGCTACTATAAACATAGGATTTCCCCCTATTTTTTTACAAAACAAGATCATAATATAGATATGTGCAGTTTATGTCTTGTACTGGTTAATAAATCGTGGACAACACACCAGATTATTACATATTGTTTTCATTCATTTTTGAATAGCTGCATGGTATTTGATCATATGAAAGAAGATTAGATTTATTGAGTCATTTCACATGGATGAACATTTAGGTTGTTCCATGGGTTGGTTACACTACCAGCTATCACCTCCAGTACAAATTTGTTTTCAAGCTGCTACTGCCTTTGTTTCTTAAGACTGATTTCCACCAATCTTGCTAGGTCAAAGGACATGTGAAATTTTTAATGGTAATTGCTTATTTACTTATGAAAACAAAGAGAAAGCTCCCATCTGCGAGATACCCCTCAAATACCCCAACAGCCACGATTGGGCCAGGCCAAAGCCAAGAGCAAGAAACTCCATTGTGGTCCACTCAGTTGTGGCATGGGCCCAAGCACTTGAGCCATCTTCCACTGCCTTCCCAGGGACACTAGCAGAGAGCTGAATTGGAAGCAGAGCATCTGCGGTTCCAATCAGCACTTACAGGGAATGCTGGCATGGCAGCATGTCTTAACTGCTGCACCACAACTCTGACCCCTCCCCATGTGTCCCCCCTTCCTTTGGTTAATGACATTTGAAAAACAAAATGAGCCTTTGCGAGATGCAACTTTTATTGGCAGGATTCAGATCCATTCCCCCTCCTGAAGCAAACATGTATCCTTTCCCCAGGCCTTTCTAGCAAATTAATCCTTAATCCGTAACCTGGAAACATACCTTTCTGCCAATAAATAACCCAGCTTAACAGATTCTGGTGTGTCCCAGGAAGGAAGTCTTCCAGCTCAGAAGCCTAAAAGTGAGATCCTACTGGGCATGGGTTTGCCCTGGGAGGTCCCGTCTAAAAACTGCAGATGGCCACAGTCTAGTCTCAGCTTTGTCTTATGGAGACATTGATTTTGAACAAACTACTTCCCATTAGATGCCAAAACAGGCTCTGATGATCTACTGCACTGTAAGCACTCCATAATAAATATTATTGCCATAAGCAAGTGCAGCTTATCTCTTTGGGCTTTGTTACCCTCATTTATATGTGGGGAGGTTAGCCTACTCCCATTGCAGAACGTGCTGTTACTTTGTTTGTTAACATACCTTCTCTGTTTTGTCCCTTTAGTAGGTGTGAGCTCAACTTGCTGCCCACACGAGCTTCTTAAAAGACACAAATCTAAGGAAATTGGGCTTGTTTGGTATCTTGACACCTTCAATAGGCAAAACAGAACCTAGCTGCCAAGTTTCCATTTCCACTTTGCCCTGTTTCCGTCAATAATGATTCTGCATACGTAGCACTTCACAAAGTAGCCTCCATCCCCAGCTTCACAACAGGTTGTGAGATTAGAAGGAAATTAAATAGCCCTAGAATGTGAACCAGAGTCACAGACCCTGAGTTAGGCCCTGAAAGAACTGAAATATGTGTGAATGTGTGGATATGGGTGTGTGTATGCCTACATGCACCTGTCTGTCTCTCGCATTTCCAGCCTGACGCTGGCTCTTTTGTGATAGATTGTTGGCATGTTAAGGCATCTTACATCACCTAAAGATATTGAATGACTTTATCCAAAGTGGCAGAGAATCCAAATTCCTGACTTCTAATGAAATTCCCTTCTTACTGACTTGATAGGGTGAATGAAGCAGAGCCTTAGTCAATTTGTGCTGCAATAGACAAATACCTGAGACTAGATTATTTCTATATCATGGAAATCTGATATTCAGAGTTCTAGATGTTGGAAAGGCCAGGATCAAGGTAACAGCTGGTTTAGTGTCTGTGGAGCGTCTGATCTTTATTTCCAGGGTAGCCCCTTGCCCATTGCACCCTCATGTTGTGGAAGGCAGAAGAGCAAAGGGGCTAACTATTACACTGCGTGAAGCCTCTTTTGTAAAAACGTTAGTCTCTTTCACAAAGGAAGGGCTCCTGTGACCTAATCACATCCGAATATGATCACTTTGGAGATTATTTCCATGAAAGTTGGAGAGGATACAGCCATGCCAACCATAGCAGGAGGCCTTTCTCTTCACTGAACAGAAGAAAAGACCCTGAGCAAGACTGACCCCAGAGGACTGTGGTGGGTGGGACAGGATGAGCTACCTCCGACACCAAGTCAGCTGGGGTCACTGATGGCCAGAGCTGAGGTTACCTGTGCCCTAGTGGGATAAAGGTTCCACCTTGCTGGTGGGGAGGCGCCTTGCAGCACGGCCGTGTGTGTACACCTGTGTGTGTGCCTTGATTGTGTGAATTTCCTCTTGTGCCTCTGTTTCAGCAATGCAAACCTCACAAGAGGCCTGTGTGTGGCAGTAACGGCAAGACCTACCACAACCATTGTGAACTACACCGAGACGCCTGCCTCACTGGGTCCAAAATCCAGGTGGATTATGATGGACACTGCAAAGGTAAGGCAGGCTCTCCACCTGTTGCAGGGCAACTGGAGTCGCAGGGAGCCCGAGAGCAGATCAGCTGGTCAAAATGACCCTAACTCCTTCCACCTTGACCATGGCCAGCAAAGTTGTGGAAACTACCCTGGCAGAGGCGATGGGTCCTCTTGCTATGAGCCTGCTTGTTTGGGCCTAGAGAAGAGCTCGGATTTGTGCCCAGGGCTTCCTACATCAGACCCCAATGGGGACTTCCAGCACTCTCTATAGCCAGATAGCAGATAACAGGTGACCACATTATTAATCAAAAATCATTTTTTAAAATCCATAAGTGATTTTCTTTCTGGAAAGTAGCTAGATGTCACTTTTCCTGAAGATTTTTAATCTGGGCACCTCTCAAAGTTGGTAGCATTGTGTTTTGTCCATTTTGTGGTCAAATTATTACCCCTTGGAGTCTGAGGAATGGAGTTCTGCATTTGTTGCTAATTAGACATTAGCTACCTGCCAAATCCTACACCTGTCCAGCCTTTCTCAGCCCTGACCTTCCCAGAGAAACAGAAAGCTGTTTCCAAGTGTTGGTGTCTACTCTATTTCCTGTTCAGGGTGATTCTGAGCATGGATCCTTCTTTGTTAAATATTTATCTCTTTATTCAAAAGGCAGAGCAACAGAGAGAGAGAGAGAGAAGAAAAGGGGTTGGGGGATAGAGAAAGAATGATCTTCCATAAGTTAGTTCAAGCTAGTTCACTCCCATAGTAGCTAGGGCTGGGCTAACTTAAAGCCAGGAATCAGGAATTTCAACTCAGTCTCCCATATGAGTGGCAGGATCCTAGATATTTGGGCTATGATCTGCTGCTTTTTCAGGTGCACTAGCAAGACGCTGGATCAGAAGTTGAGTAGATGGGACCCAAACCTGTACTCTGAAATGGAATGCCAGCATCTCAGGCAGCAACTTAACTTTCCATGCCATAATGCTGGCTGCTTTGTATGAATTCTCAGACTCTTGGGACCCCATTCATCGAACAGGAAAGAGCAAAAAAAGCAAGAGGGCAATTCTGTGACCCCAGAATGTCAAACAAGACAGGAAAGAAAGTGTCCCCACACTTGAGCCCTGGAGGAAGAGGAGGAAGACAAGATGATGAGATGCCCCTTTAGTGTGGGGCAGGCTTGATCCTAGACGTTCATAGGAATGTTCTCTTCACCTGGCAACATGCCTTCTTCTGTCTTGCAGAGAAGAAGCCGGTCAGTCCATCCGCCAGCCCAGGTGAGTGCTGGTCTCCTGCTGTGAGCACACACACACACATGCCTTAGGAGGAAATGCTTTCCATATTGGAAATTCTGATTCTCTTCCACAATCCCTGACAAGGTGTGAGCTAGATCAGAGCTGAGAGCTCATGACCCAAAAGTAGGCTCTCCTCAAGCCAACCTAGAAAAGCTGCGAAGTGGCCTTGTTCTATGCTTACTGCTGTCTGGGTCAGGTTTTCCATTGCTACTGTGCAGTGATTGAATCACAGTGATAGTCTACGGCCATACCACCCTGAACGCGCCCGATCTCGTCTGAATCACAGTGATAGAAAAGCCATTGAAACCTCCCCTTGTTGCCCTGTAAGATGGGCGCATGTCACAGGCCCAGCAAAATCAGAAGGCATGATGTGTTTTGAAAGTGGACCTTTGGGAAGGCTGGTGAGACTTCTGGGGTTTTCTATAAATAAGCCTGACAAGTTCATCGTGATTTATGCTTGGTGTGCACATCCCTGGCCTCCCCCTCTCCCCACCCGATGCAGCTCTTATTGTGATCATCAGTTGAGAAGAATGAGCCTCAGAGAAATAAAGTGGGTTTTCCCAAATTCACACAGCAAGGAAGTGGCAAAATGGGGTGGAATGCCTGAATTTTCATCCCTCGAGTCCAATACCAACACGTGTTTGTCTTCCAGAAATTGCCTCCTGCCACAACTTTATCTCCCAGTGCTCTCAGTCCCTCCTGCTATTTCCATGTCCAGAATGTTGACATCTCCCATTTTGGCCTTATTTCCTGTTGTTTATGATAAAGGGAGATACAGGTGTGCTAAAGATGTAAGTGAGGAGGAACTTTGGTAGACCAAGTTAGTGAGAAATGGAGAAACTAGAGAGGGCATCAAAACTGCGTGGCATCAATAATTTTTTAATTTATCATATATTACTTGAGCTTGTCTTTGAGCCAACGGAGCTACTATATGGACTTTATATTTCCCTAACTTTTTTTCAAATTTATTTATTTGAAAGGTAGAGCTACATACAGAGAGGGAGAGACAGAGAGAAATCCTCCATCCATTGGTTCTCTCCCCAGATGATCACATCAGCCAGGGCTGGGCCAGGAGTTTCATCGGGGTGTTTCATGAAGATGACAGGGATCCAAGCACTTGGGCCATCTTCCACTGCTTTCCCAGACCATTAGCAGGCAGCTGGATTGGAAGTGGCTTAACTTATTGCATTGTGACAGTGGCCCCTTCTGAAATTAATGAAGATGTCTTTTTTTTTTTTTCCTGTTAAGCACCAAACTTTCTGTTGCAGTATTCTGGGTGTTTGACAAATGTTCCAGCAATGAGAGCTTGAATTCTGGGTTAGACTCTTCCTTGCTGAGTACCTTGTATGTGACAGAGCTGTCCCTTTCCTGCAGTCGTTTGCTATCAGGCTAACCGTGATGAGCTCCGGCATCGCATCATCCAGTGGCTGGAAGCCGAGATCATTCCTGACGGCTGGTTCTCTAAAGGCAGCAACTACAGTGAAGTTCTTGATAAGTACTTTAAGGTAACATGGTGTTGAACGGTACTTCCTTCTCCCAGAGCTCGATCAGAAGGAAACGCTGGGATAAACCTGACTCCCTAACCAAGACAAAATTGTGAAGCTTCTTGAAAGTTGCCTTCTGACCTGCTTGGTCCGTAGGAGTCCCGTAATCCTTGGGACTCTGAGACACATGTGCTCCTTTCTTTGGCCAGTGAAGCCACAGAAAGGGTTGATGAGGCAGTCATTGATGGCTAGAACCCAACCTGACTCCTGCTGCCTGTGGTGCCTTGTGCAGCTGAGTGCTGTTACATGACACCTTCAGATTCGCCTGGACCCAAACACAGTCAGCCTCTTTCCTGTCCACATTGATATCTCCCCAAGTCGTTAATCTTCCGTCAATGAGCTGGCATTTCATGGGTCCAAAGAACCTGGCTAAATAAAGATATTGCTATTCCCTGTTATTTTTAACTAAAGAGACAGTGCTCTAGGTCCAAAGAGATGTTTCTTCTAAGAAGGAAAAGGAAGGAGGAAATAGTATGAAATTGGCAGTGGCAGGGCCACCACAAACGTCCTGCAGAGCTTCAGAGTTGCTGGAAGAAGATTCATGGCTGCGTTCCAGCTGATTGCCAAGGACACAGACACATACAGGGATATCACACTGGGAAAAAGAGAGACACGTACACAGAGATACAACATGCTCGAGTTACACATACCGCACGCAAATGCACAGTGTGCATGCAAACACACACACAGTTCAGACCCCTGCATTCTCATAGAGACCCAGGGGCTTTCCGTCTAAGGCACACACACACACACACACACACACACACACACACACACACACACACGCATCCTCTCTCACCTGCGCCCTGAGCTAACCAACCACAAGGGGGATTTTTTAGCAGCTCTGACACCATCCAGCTGGGTCCATGCAATTTCAGTCTGGATTCCTTTCTCACCCTGGCTTTATGATGGACCCTATGGTAGATTACTGGGTTGGAATTAAACGAATGGAGGGTCATTTCAGCAGTCTCTTATGTAATTGTTCTTAGTTATAGATTTTTCTCGTCAGCTGCAAAGATTAAATCCCTGCTGGGATTCAGCAGGATGAGAAAGCACTGCCCAAATTCCCTGTCCTCTGTCTCTGCCACATGCATGTCCCAGTGCCCCTGGGCCGGGGCTGGGTCCTCCCCTAGAAATATGCATCACCCTGCTGAGGGTAGGGCAGGAACAGAAAGGCACTGACAGAAAATGATTTTTCCCAAAGCTGCCTAAGTGGTACCCCAGGGCCTGTGGTAAGCAGCAGCTTTGTGATTATAGCTTAAGTGTTGTCGGGCCCAGGACACTCCTTCCAGGGCACCTCTTGGGACCTTGTAATCATTGATTGTGGCTCTCTGGTGGCACCCTGCCTGCAGCATCACTGACACCTGTTATTGGATTTGATTGTCAAGTCCCTTGACTACCTCACTCCCCATCACCACACACACACACATCACAGCCCAGAAGCTCCCATCAAAAACCTGCATACCCCCTTGAGAAAGCAGCTTTGCTCTAGGGCATTTTCACTCACTCACAACTAAGGAAGCTAAGTCATGACTTTCTAACATCAAGGTCCTTCCTTTCGACTCCCTGGCAGTATCATCCCGCAGAAAAGAGAGGCTTTGCTTTCTGATTCCTGCTGATGTCCAGAAACCTGTGTGATACTGTCTTCAAAGGGAGACTCCCTCCCCTAGGTGAACACCTGCCAGTTGGTGACAGATCTGATATTTCACAGAGAAATCTGTTTCTGGACCAGTGAACTACTCTCCTGCCTACCTGGCATTCCGCACACTGACATCAATTGAAAAACCAAATCTAATGGGAATTTGGATAAGGCACAAATCAGACTTTAACCTCAACTAGTGATCCAGCTGCTGTTTCTGGGATGAAAGTGTAACAGGATGCCCATCTCTCTCTCTTTCATATATACACACACACACAACTCCGTGTGGCTAGTGGAATTGGAGCCAGCTTTCGTGTCCCCCGTACCTAGCTACACAATTGTCCAGTACTCCAGTTGCTGTGAGTGAGCACCTGGCACAGCCCATCTCTGAGCCATCTCCATCACACACACATCTTCCTGCCTTTCCACAATCCTCCAGTTACATGACAGGGAAGTGTTGTTAGTATAAATACAAAGCTTGGAAATGCAGACTTCTGAGGGGGACTTCAGAGAGTTCAAGGGATTAGAATTAGAAGTTGCATACAAAGCATCTTCACTAAACTATTTGAAAACCCTTCATATGCCTAGTTTCAAAATTTTGGCCAATAAAATAATCCGTCTTTTTAAAATCCAGTATTACATGAATTTTTAAAAATGTACCCTCATTCTTTGTCAATGTTGGCCTAACAGAGGCCAAGAGAATTATGTTGGTATCCAAGAAGAGTCTCCCACAGATAGCTACCCCTTCCTCCCAACCCTGGCCAATGCATTCCAGTTTGTTTCGTGGTCAGCTTCCAGGCTTCTGCCTTCCTATGGATTCCACCTACAGTTCTGGCCTAGGGAAAGACAAACAAGGCCCTTTTGAGACACAAATGCAGAAGGCTGGGATGGCTGCTTAGCTTTAGGCTTAGATCTGGTTGCAATGAATATCAGGTATATGTACATAGTCCTGCCTCTTAAGAGACAACTAGGCTCATCCAGGTACAGGATGCTCACAGGTGCCTCTGGCAGCCCACGTTGGACTGTTCTCTTTATATTCTGTCTGTCATCAAGCCCTAAAGACATTAGGATCTTTAAGGATTGCTTCTGTTGCCCCAACACATACAACCCTGAACTCAAAGTCCTGAGCTACTAAAATATGACTCCTAGACAAGCTTTTAAAATTATCCTTGTCTAATTAATCAAGACCTCACAAAGTCAATACTTATACAGGGTTCCTCAGAGGAATGTGTAGTGAATAAAGAACATCTGAGACATGTCCCTAGGGATTGAGGACAAGGATGAGAAATCGATGCTAAGCTGAAGCCTTGCAGTTGATCTATGTATTTTTGTCATGCCACATACAACAGGAAGACTCACCTGTAGCATACATAGAACACATGACAGTCACAAAAGCAGAAACGGTAGCTACGTTTTTTTCCTTCTACATGGAAACCAAGACATATTTTTCTAGAATCCCTTGCAGCATCTGGGAGCCACCCTGAAAGGAACATGTCAATGTTGATTTCGTAGGGTAGCAAATGAGGCAGTCTATGGAAAGAATGTAGTTGTGTAAGGGTGGAGGATGCAATGCCATTGGAACTAGTTAGGAGGCTGGCAGTATCCAACTTGAGATTGATCAGAACCTTGAAATTGACACTTCTCCAGCAACAAGAGCCTAGGCATTGCTGATGATCCCAGTTGGCTGAAGTCTCAGTTTAGCATCTTTCCATGCAGGGAGAAATGCTTGGTTTCCCTGTCACTTCAGGCCTGCTCATGAGGTATTAGCTGGGGCATCAGGGCAGCCTGCACCAAGGAGTCTGAAGATCTTTGCCCTCACTGGCAGCAGGACCCACTGCACAGGACTTTGCACCTGCAACTTAGTTAATTCGGACCCTTTGTTCATATATTCTCACCAATATGGTCTGTTACGGCCACCAGTGTGAAAGTGAAGTCTTGATAACAGGGCATGGAAACTCGAAATCCAACAGCAAGATGTGTTCCTGCAGATCCCAAAGTGAACTCAGAGGGTCATTTGCATCACTGCTCCTGAGCACCCTGTTAGAGGAACCCCTCTGGGTCTCCAGCCAAAGATTCTAATCCCAAACTGGTCATTTTTCATTGCCTTTCTGTCTTCCTCTGGGGTCTGAGAGCATGGATTGTTGCTATCTGAGCTCACGTTTTAAAGCCAACATTACTGAAGTACATTGTCAGGCACCTCAGGGTCCTGAGCTGTTCAGCTTTCTGTTGGGGCTATCCTCCTGGGACCTTTCCCTGGGTTTGAAGGAGGTAGGGTGGCCTCTGCCAGATCCCTTTACTCTCATCTTGGGACACGGGGGCCTTCTCTGGATGTCCTAGTGACTCCAATCAGGATTGCTAGAACTCTCTGAGGCCAGCGCTAGAATGAATCAAGGAAGGATGAAGCAGAAATGGGCCAGGACAAGGGGTCAGGAATGGGAGCTAGAGTTCTGCCAAACCTCCCTGAAGGATCTCTCCACACCCTTTCTAGAACTTTGATAATGGTGACTCACGTCTGGACTCCAGCGAATTCCTGAAGTTCGTGGAGCAGAATGAAACTGCTGTCAACATCACCACCTATGCAAACCAGGAAAACAACAAGCTGCTAAGGTACACATGGGACGTGGTCAGCTGGAAGCAGGCGCCTGGGTTGGAGATTCACAACTCTTCCTACCAGTCAAGGAGCCACCAGGAACAGGAAAACGGGAATTGTGTCCTGTTCTAGTCTGTGATGAACACTGCAGTCTAATATTGAAAACCATCCATCACTGATGATGTAGTTATGGTTTTCGGCTAGCTCTGGCAAGGAATTGAAGATTGTAGTGGATCCTAAGGCTAATTATCAAGGTCATACCCCAACAAAGCTGTTCCTGAGAGCTGTGCCTGATGTTTTGTTGGTTCGTTTTCTGAAAGGGTTATCAAACTGCAGATCTGAAATAGCTTCAGTGGTGATTTTTAAGAAAATCGGTGCTGTTTCATGTTGATTGCTCTAATGATTACCATGATATGGCCTCCCCCATTCTCAGTATTATCCCAGAATAAATATTTTTAAAAATTAACCCTGCTTTCTAGTGTACCAGTAAAAATTAAAAACAGAGAAGTGCCTGTTATGTTCTCAAGTGACCCAAAGCACCTAGAAGGACTCCTTCCTTAATAATAATCCATGACCTTGAACCATAAACCATAGTCATCTTTTGGTCATCTGAAATTTGATAGCAATTTACAGTTTCCACACTTGCTGCTCCTGACATCCCAGTGAAGGAGGCATCTTGTCCTCCTTTCACAGATGAGAAGACAGGCTCTGAAAGGTTGAATTATTAGCTCAAGGACATGCAGTAGTAAGGTATTCAGCTAGGGCTAAAGTTCAGGCTAAAAGGAGAGAGATGAAACTAAGATTCTTTTGGTCAAAGAGCTCTTTCTAGAATGTTTAGACTAATGCTTCTCCCTCTTATTTTTTTTCAGATTCCATGTTCTTTTCATATCATATTTAATTTCCTCTGTCTTAATTTTTTTAGTCTGGTTAACTTGACACATAAAGCATGGGAAGAGCAGCTGCTAGTGGAAGCTGTGCGGGTCATAAAAACATTTGTCTGTCTCAGTGAACAAAGCCAGAAATGACTTTGTCTTCTTAGATAGAACAGTTGATCAGCTTGAGGGATCTGACATCCAGTAAGACAAACTGAAGGTTAGAGGCTCCCGGGGTCTGGACAGGCAAAGGCCGAGGCAGGCCAGTGCACCATGTCCCAATCAGCAGCCATCTCTTGGTCTCCCGTGCAGGCTGCAGGTGTGTGTGGCCTTAGTGCCATCTTCCTTTCTTGGGAGCAAAACTGAGCTCTCACTGGCATATTTCTCTTACGTTTCATTTCAGAGGGCTCTGTGTCGATGCGCTCATCGAACTGTCTGATGAAAATGCTGACTGGAAACTCAGCTTCCAGGAGTTCCTCAAGTGCCTCAACCCATCTTTCAACCCTCCTGAGAAGAGTATGCTTGAGCTTAAGACAGAGTTATTGGGAGGGAGGCTGGGTTAGAAAGCCTTGGTGGCACTCTCTAGAATTAATTGATAAAATCCCCTTCCTTGATTGTGCATTGAACCTTGTTCATCACCTCCAACTGAGTTAGGATCCAAAAATCTTGAGGTTGATGGTCACATTGCCTTGACTATAGGGCATCTTGTCATTGAGAAGAAGATCTTGTCTGGGAATGGATAAGGTCCATAGACTGTAGCAAAGCCCCCCTCCCATCTGTACTGTTGCCCCTCATTTGTGGTCCCACAGAGTGTGCACTGGAGGATGAGACGTACGCAGATGGAGCCGAGACCGAGGTGGACTGTAACCGCTGCGTCTGTGCCTGTGGAAACTGGGTCTGCACAGCCATGACCTGTGATGGTGAGCTGTGTCTTGGGAACAGGGAACAGAAAGAAGCAGCACTGTTCATCACTGTGGGAGAAGTCCCAGGGGGTGGGGTGGAGGTAGAGAAGAGAGCCAGGGCTGGGAGCAAGAACCCAGGCAAGCAATTAGCAGACTCAGACTTGGCATATTAGAGCTCCCAGTGGGCATCTCTGAGGGCAGAGCACTCTTTCCAATGCCTAAGTGTGCAAATCACCCCAGAGACTTCTAATAAGAGAACACTTAGACCCAGGAACTTAGTGAATGTTGCTATGAGACAAGAATAATAATAAGGAAAACAAATACTTGCTATATGCTAGACATGCTTCTCAGCATTTACATGTGAATGCACTTAACCTGTATGACACCTTGGAAAATATGCTGGGAGAGACTGAGGTGGTTAGAAGACAAAATGACACCACCTTGCCATACCCAGAAGAAAATGGAAAAAGACTGGGTAATCCTACAAAAAAACAAAACAAAACAAAAACCTGAGGTGGTTGAAGCATGGGCAGGGCAGGTTAAGGAGATAAACATGTTGGAAGGATTTGGGAAGACAGGATAGAGGATCAGGGACCCCATCAGGGTTCTGTTACAGTGATGCCAAAGGTCAAGAGAAACTTTAAAGTCAAAGCCAAGGCTAGCAAAGAACAGAGACCATTGGGATTGGAAGAAAGAGTTAAGTGTTGAAGCCAGGTCTGGACTGAAGAGCCACCTTAGGTTTGAGAAGAAATGCTGGTTAGAATTTGACCCAAAGTTACACCCAATGTGGAGAACCTAAAAGTAAGTCCCACACATCCTACAATCCAAGTTGCCTCCCCTGTATGGAGGTCAGTTCCACCCACCATCACACAGCCCAGGACAGCTCACCCTCCCTGTGTAACTAGAAAGAGCACACCAGCAACCTGAGAATGTCTTGGAGTGGAGATCAGGGATACTTACAGAAAGAACAGTATGTACCCAGCATCATGTTTAGGAAGATTAGGTAAGGCAAGGTCCCAGGACGAGATGCTTCTGGCCAGTGAGGCCTGGGAGACACCAGTGGTACAAAAGGAACCCAATTTTATCAAAGGGGTCACCAGTTCACCTCAATCCAAGACTGTTGACAGGGTGAAAAGGCAGGAAACCAAGAGAATTCCAGGGACAATTTATGAAACAGCAGTAAGAGTCTAGAAAGTCTTGGAAGTTACTGGATGTGTAGACCAACCCTGGAAGGCCAGGCCACACAGTAGCTACTGAAGCCCACAACATCTCAAATCAGTGGCCCAGCCTGCATGACCTCTGGTCTTCCTGGAACTCCCTTCAGTAGCTCTCCACACCTGTCTGTTCCTGTGTGGCCTTGTAAGGGAAACCCTTCATTTCTATGACATAGCAGTTGAGGAGCATCTGATAGGCTGAGCTGTAATCACAGTCATCTGGTAAGAATCCTGTCCTATGCATCAAGACCGGGTTACTACCCCTGTGGACACTGCCCATTTTCACAGCCACACAGCTCTGGACTGCTGGCCCACCTCTCTAGATGGCTCTGCTTCAGAGCACTGTAGGAGTAGAGGGTCATGGGGTAGTGACCAAGGACCTGTATGGGCTAAGGATTGGAGAGGGTATGGCTTTTTAGGTTAGCACCTGAAAGTTAGCAGAGTGGTGTCAGATCCTAAATGCCAACAAGACAAACAAGAAAGGTCACCAAGATGTAAGGGCAGGTAAAACCAGAGTTAGGGAGACTGCTGTGAGGAATATGCCCAGAGTGTGTGTCCTAGACATGCTTCCTGACAGAAAGCATCCTGTTTAATAGACAGATGACTGGCTTCCATCCCAAACCTACTGAATTATAATCAACTGAAGGATAGCCTGGGGACCTGTATAGTCTTGTTTTTGTTGATCTGGACTGAGAGTTTAGGCATTATTGTCAAGTACAGTGTCCATCAACCATAGCTGTACATTAAAATCCCCTAGAAAGCCTTTTTCCAAAACCCAAAAAGCAAAAATGAGTGTTCATCTCATGTTAATAAAATTGGAATCCCTGAAGGTAGGACCTAAGCAATTGTATTCTTAAAATTTTCGCCAAGACAGTTTGAGGCTGAGAATCACTGGCCAGAGGAGTTCCCTGAGTCAGGATCCAGCGTTTTCTGCAGGGCCAGTTCTAAGCAGCTAAAGGAGACACAGTGAATAGAGGCCAGAGAGGAGCAGGGATCAATAGCTTTATCAGTAGCATCTAACCTAGGAGCAATCATCCATGTTAATAGAAATTGTGAATTTCAGCTCTCCTTCCACACATTAGATGTGGGATGAATTGAAGACCTACAGGCTAGATTGGTGGGATCCCTCCCGTGATCAGCACAGCCACCACTGCTCTGAGCTTTTCTTCTTCTTTTTTAAAGAGTTATTTTATTTTTATTGGAAAGTCAGATATACAGAGAGGAGAGACAGAGAGGAAAATCTTATATCCGCTAATTCACTCCCCAAGCAGCTGCAACAGCTAGAGATAAGCTAATCCGAAGCCAGGAGCCAGGAACTTCTTCCGGGTCTCCCAAGCAGGTGTAGGGTCCTAAAGCTTTGGGCTGTCTGGCTGCTTTCCCAGGCAACAAGCAGGAAGCTGGATGGGAAGTGGGGCAGCTGGGATTAGAACTGGTGCCCATATGGGATCCCAGCACATGCAAGGCGAGGACTTCAGCTGCTAGGCCACCATGCCGGGCCCATGAACTTTGGTTCTTCTTGCAGGAAAGCATCAGAAGGGGTCCCAGACCCAAACAGAGGAGGAGATGACCAGATACGTCCAAGATTTCCAAAAGCACCAGGTAAGAGGCAGCTTCCATGCAAGTTCAGGCATCCCTTCTGCCACCAGGCTCAGAGACCATACATACTCCCAGTGCCCCAGGAGACATGCCAGGCTCGGTAGTTCCAGACATTCTCTAATGGGTACTTCTCCCATGGTCAGGTAGGGTGCCAGACATAGGGAACAATTTGGTGTTTGGCTGCTTAAAACAGACCCAGACTAGTGGTGATTTGCAAATGAGGTGGAAGTGATTTGCAAATGAGCCTGATGGTAATGCTTCTTGTCAAGGCCAGCACCCAGATCAGAACACTCTTCAGTTGCTTGAAAGCAGGCTCTGGGACTTGCTCACCACTGTACCCTCCCATGTACATGGGACCTAGAACATGAGTAGCACTGAGCAACTGTGAAATTCATACATTTGGACCACAGCAGAAAGGATTTAAGTTAAATACAAAAATGACTAGAAAATAGCTTGAGATTAACCAAAGTTCTCCTTCCTGAAGACTCAAGAAGATACTAAATAAGAAGTCTGTTCAGTTTCCATGTGGTTCAATTGAAGGCTGAACTATTATGGGAATATTGGGCTCCTGGCCCCGCCTCTCCACTGGCCTGTCATGAAGTCATAGAGATGTGGTGCCTTATGTTTCCTGCCTGTAGATTGGGTCTAGTAGTACAAGCTTTCTCTGTGACTCAGATGTTTTTAAGGAGTAAAATGGTCATAAGAACTGCTAGCCTGTTGAGGTGAACTATTTGACACGAATAAATGGAACTGTTAATAGTAATTGTTCTTATTTAGCGATAATTCTTTAAGCATAGTCAGTTTATCATTGTCACTGCTGATGTTAGTGAATAAGCACAGGCTTCTGACTTGTTTCACTCAATTTTTCAGTATTGTGTGTCCAAATGAGTCCAGCCGCAGGAAGTGTATGTGTGTGTGTTGGGGGTGGGGGATGTACTTTATAGGGATTCTTTTTCATCTAGGCTGGGAAGTTGTCAGATAGTGGGGAATGAGTTATAATCACTAGCATTTAAGGGTTTCTGGTGTATGTGAAATCCCTTAGAAGGAGAAAATGGTGAGACAAGAACTCAACTACAGATGGTTGGTCCATCAGAAAGGGACTTGGAGAATAGTTCAGGAAGGTGATGTACAATATGTGTTCAGGCATGATAGGATCCAGGGCAAGTGGAGGTGAATCCTGTTGGGGAACGGAGTTGCTGTGTCTGAGCAGAGAGCAGACAGGGATTTCAGCAAAAACTCCCATCAGCCATTGGAGCCATTGATGGCTGCTGCCGGGAAGCATGGGTTCCTTGGCATTTCTGGCCTGTTAGCAAGTGTGCACAAAGTGGGCTTCCACAGCCAGGGCAAGCCGTTGGGCAAAGAGATGCAGCCCTGCAGAAGGAAGGAAGTTAGTGTCAACCAGCATATGAACAAAGCGAGTAGGGATGAAGTAGGCTATTGTGTCCCAGGCCCCATGGCCAAGGGTCTACCCTATTTAGGGTTTTTTTTTTAGATTTACTTTTTTTTTATTGGAAAGGCAGATATACGGAGAGGAGAGACAGAGAGGAAGATCTTCTGTCCAATGATTCACTCCCCAAGTGAGCGCAAAGGCCGATGCTATGCCAATCCGAAGCCAGGAGCCTCTTCCGGGTCTCCCACCCAGGTGCAGGGTCCCAAAGCTTTGGGCCGTCCTCGACTGCCTTCCCAGGCCACAGGCAGGGAGCTGGAAGGGAAGCGGGGCTGCTGGGATAGAACCAGCGCCCATATGGGATCCCGGGCGTGCAAGGCGAGGACCTTAACCACTGCGCCACCGTGCCGGGCCCTACCCTATTTACTTTTTAAAATTGAGTTGTCACATACCATAAAATCTGTTCCTTAAAAGGGTATTATTCACTAGTTTTTTTTAGTGTATTTATATGACTGCCGTCACCTCCATGTAATTCCAAAACATTTTCATCATCCCCCCCAAAAAATACCCATTAAAGGTCAGTTCTCATTCTCCTCTCCTTGTCTCTGGCAGCCACTAACCTACTTTCTGATTTTATAGATTTGCCTATTCTGGACATTTCAGCTAATGCAGTCTTGCAATAGACAGTCTTTTCTGCCTGACTTAATTTGCTTCATGTAATGATTACAAGGTTCATCCTTGTGGCATGAATCTGTACTTTGTTCCCTTTTGTGGCTGAATAACCTTCCAGGGTATGGTTACCCCACATTCTGTGTACCCATTCATGTGCAGATGGATATTTATGTCATTTCCTTCTTTTGCCTGTGATCTATTACATTGCTAGGAACTTTGTTGTATGCCTATGCATGTGAATCTGAGCTTTTGGCTCTGTTGGTATACTCTTTGGTGTGGAATTGCTAAGTCCCAGAGCAATTCCATGTTTGGCCTTTGAAAAGGTGCCAAAGTGACTACGCCATTGTACATCCTTCCCAGCTGCTCAACATCCTTCATGTCCTTGACAGCCTTTGTCATTGTTTTTTTGTTTTGTTTTGTTTTTTTGGTGTGGATCTGAACTGGTATCTCCTCCTTGTGGTTTGGATTTACATTTGCCTAATGACTAATGATTTAGCTCATTATCTTCTTGAAACCCTTATTTTCTACTTGTGTATCTTGTTTGGAGAAATAGACTAGATACAGTTTGCAGGATTAGGTATTTTGTCACCCTGATTTTGCAGTTGAAGATACTGAAACACAGAAGTTTTCCTAATAGGTCAAAAGTCATCCCCAAAAGTGTCACAGCTCAGGCAGTCTGCTCACACAACCTGTTGCTCTGAACCCTTCTCTGTATTGGTTGGGTTTGGAACATACTGTAGCACTTCCATTTGATATCATCCTTTTCATCCTTAAGATGGAGATGATGATATCTGATCATCGTTTCATGGGAGTTCCCACAGCTCAGCGTTTAATTCCATAAACAGCTATCTGGACATGTGCTGACTGGGACATGATCCTTCGTTCTGAGTTACTCATTATCCATGGAGGAACCAGACATGTCAACAGAACTGAAACTCAGTGTGAGCATATATCTGCTACGCACTGGGGCCTAGTGAAATGCCAGTTTTTTTTCAAGATGTTCAGGATATTTGTTTTCTCTTGCATCTCAAAGGAAACAGCTGAGAAGACCAAGAGGGTGAACACCAAAGAGATCTGAGGAGGAGGCATGCAGGAACAGCGTCTGGAGCCCACACCTTCTCCTCCACTTCAGCGCTGAGTCCAGTAAACGCAGATGTCTGCTACAATCGCCAAATCACCAGTATTTGCTTGTATAGCAACGACTTTTGTTTTGTTTATGTGTTTTGCAATCAAGGAAATGGGGGCGGTTGGCTAGGAGGGGAAGGCTCAGAGCCTTCCTTTTAGGAGTGCTTTGGGAGAAACTGTAAATGATGCTCTAGGGGCTGGAAGCAAGTCAGGAAACTGCATCATGGTTGGAAAAGCAGCAGACCCAGAACTGAGGCCTTTCTCAGTCCGTGGCTGCAGGGATTGTGAGCAAGGCCAGAAAGAACTTAGTAGGCTGTCCCTGGGGGAGGGCTCTAGGAAGGTCAATGGGGAGGAACACATTCTGCTTCTGGCTCCTTCCCATTCATCAACACCTATCCTTCTCTTTTTAGTCCCAGCAACTGCCTCTACCTTCATGGCCATCCTGCTAATTACCCCAGCATCCCTCAGGCTTGGATGGAGTTTTCAGGAGGGTGTGCTCAAATGATGTAGAGACTTGTCTACTTTAAGCCCCTTAGAGACCTAACCAAATTTTTAAAATACTTTTTACCAAAGGTGCTATTTTTCTGTAAAACACATTTTGTTGGCAAGTTGACTTCTTTCTTCAACTATTTCCATTATATTTCTGTTGTTAATATTTTGTTATTGCAATAGTAAGCTTTTTGTAATATTTTTTGAGTAGTCCTACCATTTCACAGGTGAAAGGAATTTGGGGTTCTTCCTGGTGCTGGGAGCTCCTTAATCCAGACATTGCCCACTCTACAGACTAGAGACAACACACTGTGGGCCTTCTGCCTTGCCAGCAGATCAGCCATCTACCAGAGTAGCAGGGAGTGCCCCAGACAAGCCAGGGCAAGATGACACACTTTAACAGAAAGCTTTCAAGATCCAAAACATTAAATGTTTTTCATTGATTCTGAGAGGTTCAGGCAAATCATATTCCAAGGTGTGGTGAAAAATGTGCTCACTTGTCTGTGCTCACTTGCTAGCAGTGGGTGACTTTGACTTTTGATTTAATGGATTAGTGGTTCTGGGGTTCTGGCCACTGGTGCAGAGAGTCGCCATAATTTGTCTTCTTTTTCATTAAGATAAACCTTGTTGTTAGAACATGAAAAGTCAGACAACCAGAATCCAAGATGACCCAACGTGATCTCATTGTGAATGGTCATGCAGCAGACATGGGCTCTGATGTAGAGCCTTTGCCTGCCCAGGGAGAGAGTGGGAAAGAGAACCACCCTACTTCAGCTCTGCATTTCGTGGGTCATCTTGAAGTGATCGCTAAAAGATGAGAACCAAAGAAGGTTTCAGCTCCAAGAGAGACAAAGAGACCGAGTCTGAAAACAGTGACTTAGGAAAAGTCAACCATTCACAGTCAGTCCTGAGTCTTTTAGCTTCTGTGAATATTAACTTGCTATTGTGCTTCAGGATCATTGGGAATCACAAAGACTAAAAGTTTGACATAAGCTGTCAGTGGCAGAAAGCAGATCACAGACCATCAGATGGGCATTGGGGTGGTGCTATCAAGGTAACTGTGAAAAACTATTGGGCCCAGAAATGGAATTCTTTTAAAATCGTTGTCCTTGTTCTCCAAATGAGAACATTCCACCACATTTAGAATATCATCCTATTTAAAATTTCTCCCTGCACCCTACTTTGCAACTCCTGCCCAAGTGCCTTGGAAAACTCCCAGCAGCATGCCTTAATCAAAAGTTTTGCCAGTGCTTGGACAATGAGAGAGAGGGCAAGGTTTCCATTTTGTTTAAAGCAAGAAACTGCAGGCTCCCTTCACCATTTATATATCATTCAGTGTCTGTTCACAGTTAGAACAATGGTTGCCATCCAAGGCTGTGTCTCATGCTGCAACATGGAATTCCCAAGAGCAAATCCGCATTTCTCTTGAGTTGTGCTGCCTCTGTGTCACGAGGGCAGCTGTTGTCACCACCGTAGAATCACATGATCTGAGAACCATTCGTGCAAAGATGCTAACCAGCCTAGTTTGAGAAGTCCTGCACAGAGCTCTGCCTGGAGCACACAGACATGATTAAATCAAGTCCAGTTCCCGCAGCCCTGTAAAAGCTGGGGCCTCAACCGCAAGCCTCCTTGGGTTTTTTCTGTGTGTGTGGTTTTATAAACAATGCAGCACGGAGATCCAGTGTCCATGGAAACCTATCCCCATGCCGTGACCCTGGACTCTTACATCATTGTTTTTGCCAAGCCAGGCTCCTTCACCTGCTACTAAGCCCATGTGAATGTCTTTTTTTTACACCCATTTTCTTTAAAAATTCAACTTCAGGAAACAGTTTGAACAGGTTTCTGTTCCTGTGTGTTTGTGAAAATGTATTTAGTATGCTTCCCATATTGCATTTAACTTGTTTTTATAACTCCTGGCTTTTTTGTTGTTGTTGTTGTTACTATTGATAAATAAAAACATTGAAATAATACTTTTATTGGTTTTGTTTCTCCATCTCCAACACCGATAAAGACCAAATAAAGTTGGGCAAATGTTAGTCATTGCCTCATAGAAGTGGATTTGTGTTTCAGGAGCCTTCAAAAGAACTGAAGAATTTCTGTCCCCAGAATTTCCCCCTGCCCAACCACACACCCCAAAATGCCTTGGAACTGCAGCTGGAAGAAGAAGCTTTCTCAGGGGTTGGGAGGACACATTCTATAAGTAGATTATGGGTAGTGGGTCTAGAGTAGGGGTGGATGGGAAGTCAGGGAATATCTTAGTCCATTCAGGCTGCTATGACAAAATACCGTAAGCTGGGTAATTTATAAAGAACAGAATTAATTGTTCACAGTTGTGTAGGCTGCAGAGTCTGCAATCCAGACGCTCACAAGTTTGTCTGCTGGGGATGGCTGTGAGGATGGCTGGAACCTCCTTGTAGTGTCCTCTGGCTTCTGTTAGGAGAGCAGGAAACCCATAGGTGAGGGTGTGGCTCTCTGACATAATCCTCTCTTACAAACCTCTCACTACTACTACATGGGGATGAAATTTCAATGAAGGAATTTTAGGGGGACACAGAAATTCAGAATGCAGTGATGAGCATTCATTCCTCCCTTGGGAAGAGATTAAACTGAAGTCCTCAAAGGGACTTATGAGATGAGTGGCACCCACTGAAGCTGGTTACCATTAAAACTATGAGAAACCACATAAAGATGGAAGGTTAGCACAGGGAACAAAGAATCCTTGTCAGGATAAGCCAGACTTTCTTTCATAGCAGACATTCCATTGGGATAAACATTTCCAAGTGGACAGCGTATGAGCTGGTTAAGAAGACTGTTCTGCTTTATCTTGGAGACATGAGCAACACTTGACTTTTGACATTGATCTTTATTGATATGACGCACTCTGCATCCCCAATAATTCTGCCATTCAGGAGAGCACATTACTGTTGATGAGGCTTAAGATTTCTTTATTTCAGTCATGTGTAGAAGTCTCATTTTTCTAAAATTACAGCCAGCTCACCTTGATTAGAGCTGAAGCATTACCCAAATGCTAGTCAAATATGCTAGTCTAGGGGCTGGCACCATGGCTAGTAAGCTAAGCCTCTGCCTGTGGTGCCAGCATTATATCTGGATGTCAGTTCAGTCTCAACTGCTCCACTTCTAATCCAGCAACCTGTTTATGGTCTGGGAAAGCAACAGAGGATGGCTCAAGTACTTGGACCCTGCACACACATGGGAGAGCAGAAAGAAGCTCCTGGCTCTTGGCTCCCAACTTCAGATCAGCCAGGCTCTGGCTGTAGTACCCATTTGGAGAGTGAACCAGCAAATGGAAGGCTTTCTTTCATCTCTCCTTTCTGTAACTCAGATAAAAATAACAATCTTTTTTTTTTAAGGCAATCTCTTTGGTTGTATTATTGCTACTACAGGTTACTGACTTCTAATCTCAGGTTACTGACTTCTAGTCTCGGGGTAATTTTTAAAGCTTAATGATTTATTTGAAAAGCAGAGTTATAGAAAGAAGAGAGAGAGAGAAAGATCTTCCCTCCACTGGGTCACTATCCAAAAGGCCACAATGCCTAGAGCTGTGCTAAACTGAAGCCAATAGCCAATAGCCCAGTGCTCTTTCCACATCCCCCAACTGAGTACAGGGACCCAAACTGGGGCATCTTCTGCTGCTTTCCCAGGTATATAATCAGAGACTTGGATTGGGACTAAAACTGGTGCCCTTATGGGATGCCAGCACTAAACGCAGTAGCATAGCCTTCTATGCCACAATGCCAGTCCCAGAAAGGACTCTCAAACCCAATTTGATGGATGCATTGTTCATAGCCACTTTTACTTGCTTGCCAGTAGGGCCAGCATCTTGGCAAAGATGGTAAAGACAATTCCTTGTCACCAGCATCTGATATGAGCCCTTGTTGAAAATCCCGGCTGCTCTACTTCCAAGCCAGCTCTCTGCTAACAGGGAAATCAGAAGAAGATGGCCCCTGCCATGCAAGTGGAAGACCTGGATGGAGTTCCAGGCTCATCTATCCCCTTCCCTCTCCTTCTCTGTCTCCTTTTCTCTCTCTGCTTTTCAAATAAATGTCTTTAAATAAATATCTTGGCTGGCTTCTCCCAATCTTGAACCCGGAAACATTTCCTGCTGTTAACAATGTGTATGTGTTTAGGAAGTGAAAATTCTTAAACATTGTCACACAAAGTTCCGAAAGTAAACTTCAGGGCCCTGTGCAATGGTTCAATTAGCTAATCCTACCCTTTCAAGTGCTGGCATCCTATATGGGCACTGGTTTATGTCCCTGCTGCTCCACTTCCCATCAAGCTCCCAACCTGTGGCCTGTAGAGGATAGGTCAAAGCCTTGGGACCCTGCATTTGCACAGGACACCTAGAAAAAGTTCCTGGCTCCTGGCTTCAGATGAACTCAGCTCTGGCTGTTGAGGCCACTGGGGGAGTGAACCAGCAGATGGAAGATCTTTCTTCTCTGTCTCTGCTTCTCTCTGTAAATCTGAACTACCTTTGCAATCAAAATTTTTAGAAAGAGCAAACCTTTAAAAAATAATAATAAACAAGTCTTTTAAAGAAAAAGGTAAGTAAACTTTCTAAAATCAAAATGTGTGAACCATACAAATCAACATAAATAACTTTATTTAGAGTACTTTTATCAACTTCCTGTCAGTTTTCCTGAACTTTTCTGAAATAAGAGGAAAAAGGATTTGGATAAAAAAAAAAAAATGTGAATAAGTAGAGAGATCTAGGCAGTTGTCCTCAGTGGCCTAGAGAAAAATCTCACACATGTGGAAAATGGAGGGGGTAAATCTGAGGCTGCTGCTGATGGAGTCTGTCTCATGGTGTGACACAGGAAGCCGATTGTTACTCTTTGAATGGCAGGGTCTTCTTGTTGATGAAGAGGTAATTTTTTCTCACTAACATTTTTTTTGAATTGAAGAAGTAATATGTGCACACAGTTAAGAGGAAACCTAATTTGTATCAAAAAATATTTTTTAAATTATCTTAAAGAGATATACGTTCATGAATGTGCTTATAATACCAATAGTTCTTTAAGTATGTGGTACAATTATATGTTCCCACCATGTTTGCTTTCCTACATTTTTGTGAACAGTGTGTCTCTAGAATCTTCTGCCTTCTGTTAGACATAAAATCTTCACCTAATTTTGCATTTTATTATTCTTATTCTTGATATTGAGCATCTTCCATAAATGACTGCACTAGATCTTTTCTTTTGATTTCCTTTTATTGTTTTTCTTGTGGCTGTTGGCCTTTTGTTAGGATGGCTCTGTAAAAGGTCTTTGTTATTATGTCATTATTTTTTTTCTCTGGCATTCTTTGCCTTACAGAGATCTTCACTATTTATATAAGACAATTTATTGCTTTTTCCTTTTATCTTTTGGACAAAGAAGCTTTAAAATCTGTAGCATTGTCAAAGCATAGGACAAAAACATCATTACCAGAGCAGACCTCTGAACCCGTCAAAAACAGAACGTAGAAAGTGTCCACTCAGGAAAAGGATGGAGCTGGCACAGTGCAGTCATTGCTAAAGTTGGGGAGTGTACAAGCCAAACCTAAGGTTGTACTGAAGGATGTATCCCAGGACACATTATTCCAATGCGTAGAACAAATCAGGGAGATCCAAACTTGACCTCATTCTACAATCCAGTCTAGTCTATGATTGGCTAAGGATGATTTCCACTTCTCTTTTGAAATATCATTAATATTAATTCAGCAAATGTGTTTTGTGTCTCTAGGCAATTTTGTAAGTGTTTGCTCTAACTGCTTGGGAAAAAGATAAAAACCTGAGCCTCTGTCCAGCCTGCATTCCAGCGGAGAGAGACAGACAACAAACATAAAAAACAAGTAAAGTTTCTGACATGTGAGAAGGCGATCAGGACTACATATAACAAGCTAACAGGGACTGAGGTGTGGGGTGAGGCAGTATCTATCTGCCATTTTAAATGGAGTCATTGGGGGCAGGCTTCCTTGAGAAGGTGAACAAAGACTTCAGCCCAGGCAAGTAGCTGTGGGGCGTGTAAAGCAGAGCAAGAATGTCTGTCTTGAGAGAGCAGTGGGACACCAGGACACAGAGCAGATGGGCAGAGTAACTGAGGGGAGGACAGCTGTGCATTGTATGCAACTGTAAGGGGGGGGAGGTGTTTCTAGATTGTTATGTTAAATATACAGAATAAAGCCCACATGATTCTGATTGTGCCTATGGGCCCAATCATTCTCAAAAACGCCTTCCGTATGAGTATGAGAGCTGAAATCCACTATTCCCAGTGCACTTGTTGGTTTATCACTTGTTGGTGATGCTACCCACCAGCTAGGTTGCATCAAGATTTTGATCATGGACAAAAACAGGGGTTATTTACTTACAAGGCCTGTTATAGAAGAGCTTTAGGTGTGCATACAGCATCTAACTCTGAGAAGGAAATATAGATATATATCTTGTTAACAGGTGAGATATAGTGCCCAAGTAGATGTAGTAAGCCTGTAGGATTGAACACATGTTTACTGAGGACTGGGCACCAAGAATGGGGAGTAGGACTATACTGAACTTGGTCTCTCCTCTCAAGGAGACAGACAGCAGTATCTACTGATTATACCACCACAAGGCAAGAAGCCAGCATATCTTGTCGCTAAATTTTGCACAAGAAGAGTTCACCTAGCCAAAGTCCAATCAGAAGAAGAAGCAAAAATGTTGAGATACAGCACGAAAGGCAAAAGGAGCTGTAGATCCAAAGCTGGATGTGAACTCTCCTCGGTTGTTGTACAGCTTTGAGTGAGTTAGATTCTCTGTACTTACATTTCCTCATCTGTAAGATGGAGGGAATCATAATTTGTATTTCATAGAGATGCTAAGAGAATTGAGTGAAATAAACCATTTAAGAGGAGCAGTGTGTTAAGTGTTAGCTTTTTGTTGCTGTTGCTCCTCTTTTCTGCAGAATGGAGGTAACAATAATCCTTCATAACAATGCT